GACAGTAGCCTGCTTCGATTCAAACATTGATCTTACTGAGAGCATGCCCCTGAGTTTCGGATAAGTTGGGAGACGTATACACCATATGCAGAGGAAAGCGGAATATTATATAAATAAAGAAAGTTGACGATGGAAAAAATGTAACCATCTCGTAAATTTAGTTGAAGATAACAATGAAAAACGATGTTTTAATAGCGATTCTCTGTAACCACCTAAACTTCTTTGCCACGCATGGTCACCGAATTTGATGAAACTTTGCCCATTATTAGAACTTGACACCAGAAACATATATCAAATAAAATTTCGTTGCTATGTGTCTTGGTTGCCATGGTAACAGCCAGAAAAGTTGAAAAAATTGAGATTTTCAGCTACTTTAAATATATTTATTAAGCCTTAATAAAGAATAAGAATAATAAACAAACCATTATCCCCAAAACCTGACACCTTGTTGCCACTTATGCTATAAAAACTATTTAGAATTTATCTCTAAGTAAGTGGTAACCATGGGTACATTTGGAATACATTTTAGATGCTGAAAAATGCAGAAAAACCCTCAATATTCACTAATGATAGGTATTCAATGATCAAACTCAATCAACAACCTAAAAAAAAAAACAAAAAAAAAAAACAATAAAAATATTTGACCTTAAGGAGGGATTCTTCTCATAAGAACACTTATTTCTTATATTTAAAAATCAATGAAATTTTCACAGAATCAAGAAGACAATATCACTAAGTGATGGTATCAGTTAGATTAAATTTGACCGTTTTATATTAGAGGCAAGGTCAGGTCAAGGTCAGTACCTTTTCCCTGGACATTAAGAATAAAAAATTACTGTTGCCAATTATGCGATGCCTACTTCTATTTCAATAAATTAAATGTTTTTCTTTTTGCATAAAGAGATATTACCATATAGGATCTATAAGATGATATTATCAAATTGACATAAATAATTTAACTAAAATGGATGTTGGCTAATCCGAATTTTCTCTATTTTTCTTAAAATTTTAAGATATTTTAGTTGTTTTTATATGCTTCCTATATTTAAATTTTTCTTATCTTCACATATGGTAAAGTTGTCAAATAAAGATACAAAATGATATAAAAACAAAAAAGTTTTGACCGTTTACTAAGAGAGAAAAAACACTTTTTACGGATTTTTTTGCTCAAATCTAAACTTAGATTGGAAGCTTTTAAAAGCTAACATAATTGTACTTTGTTTGGAAAATCATATTTATTTGATATATTTTAAAACTTTAGTCCCTTATTATTAATTTAACTTACATTAAAAAAATTTTCTCCAAGTCTTTGATTGTGTAAAAATTATAACTAAATTCATTGTTCTATAATTATTTTGAGAGGCAGAAAAGAAGATATTTTCATACGCCGCCATTCTGCCAAAAATATAGTCCCTGCTAGACTTCAAACTCAGTTTACCATTCCTATTTAAAGTTGTACAATTGTGATGAGGAAAGAAAAATATGATCTTTTAAATCTATTACATCTAAATATATAAAACATATAAGCAAATATACTTCAAATATTTCATCTAGTCAGAAACCAGACAAAAAATCCCTCCTTAAGTAATTAGGTATTGGCAATATTATTCTAAAAATAACTTTCATGGTTGCCATGGTAACACAGTGTTACCATCCAAAATGTGTTGCTAAGATTGGGTTAATGCTACTATCTTCAGGAAAAACAATAAATTTCATGACTGGCACATATATATCTTAGGATCTTGCAACACCGATAACATAAGAAAAATAGGATTAATTGTTACTTTGCAGTGTAACCATGGAAACAATGTACCAGTTGTTTAAAGTGAATTTTTTTTTTTTGCTGCCTTAGGAATTTACTTACCTTTTATTCAAGAAACATATTATTTGACTCACCTTGAATAGCACTTATCTGGTAAAACTAAAGTTGAATATCATATATTGATAACGTTTGTTGAAAAATACAACACTGTTGCTATGGTAACCAAGAAGGGAAAATGTTCAATTTTGTTAATTTTATATCAATAATAAACCCTATGTGCCAGCTTTTTGCATCAAGCTAGAGATTGGGTGGCAGTCAAAATTGAAAGTCAGGTTAGTTGTTCATAATTACCAATCATAAAAGTTTTGGGAATCTACATACAAGGGTATGTATCCAAGGAAACAGAATATTTTTCAGATTTTTATGCATATTTTTTCGGCTTATTTCCATAGCAACGCTCTATTTAAAGAATTGAATTTGCTTTTTTTGAAATGTGAGAATTAGGGTCACATGAACATCTTTAAAAATTGATCATTAGTTATATAGAAATATGCTTTTTTAAACGATAGGATTAGATTTAATCACTAAGAGAGTAAATTTAAAATCCCTTCTTGGTATTAAAACCATGGCAAACATTGCCAACCTATAAGAAATATCATATTTCTTCCATGGTATATGTTACAAGGATCTTTTGTCTATTATTTGCTTGTATTTCAACCTATAATTTTTTTTTATTCTTAAGTGTATGATGTTATAAAATTAAATGAGCAAAATTATTACTTTTGAATAATTTGTTTCCATAGTAATGTATGTAATAGTTGATTTACCAAACATGTTTATCATGCATTTAGAACATCAGGCCTTCTTTGCTTTGCTGCAAACGTTCACTGTGGGACTCTGAACATGTTGAAAAATGCCATTTTTTAAACTTTAGGACATGTTGACATGGTGACCATGTCACGTAGCAACCAATTTCTGCCTGATTTGAGTTTACGGTATCAAAGACTTTTATCATAGAGAGTTTGGAGAAATTCTGAGACTATGCGTGCCACAGCTTATATATAAAAGTTCAAGTCGTTACAGAGAATGGCTCTTAACAATGTTCTCTTTGAAGCATTGGAATGGTTTAACTTAAACAGAAAAAAAATCAGTCTTACATGTATAATGTGATGATTTTCGCTTTTATTTTAAATTTTCATATCCTCTTATTTACCAAATATCAGTTGAATTGCCTGTCTAAGAAGAAACCATTTTAAAAGTCTTTTTTTTTTAAATAAAAAAAAAAGCTTATGACAGTTTATCTCGGAAAGAATAAAAAAAATATTATCGTTTAGAAATATGACATTGTTTTTTTTCTGCATCATTTGTCAGTTATCATAGCGATTCAAATGCTATTAAGAGATAATATAAACGAAAAATAGCATGTTTTGAAAGAAGGAAGCATAACAACTTAGCAATATTTTATATCATTGCATACAATTTCCTGATAATAGTCATGGATACCTGAGGCGGATGTGCATCCCAAAACAACAACACCAACCCAAATATGGTGGCATGTTGCTAGCATTTATTACATAGAATTTTTAAGTATATGCAAATTTGCAAACATATAAGAAGAAATTTCTGAGAAGGAAACAGTTATTTCTTATAATAAATATTGATTTGAAATATATATATATATATATATATATATATATATATATATATATATATATATATATATATATATATATATATATATATATATATATATATATATATATATATATATATATATATATATATATAAATCATCTATTTAAAAAAAATCAATAAATAAAAAGATCAAGAAGATGGCAAATCAATCGAGAAGAGAAAAAATTCTGTAATGTTCGATTAACAATAGACATATTTTATTTGACAATGGCGCTTAATATGCAAAGGTGTATTTAATATATGTACAGTATCATGAGATCTGCTGCTTCGGCGATATTTAGTAGTTTTTTTTCTAAACATGAACTGATGTCAATATGGTGTCAATATTATTTAGGTAATTATGTATTTATGTATTGGGAAGTAAAACTCACCAAGAATAAAGTAAATCATCCCAACATCGAAGAATACATAATTGTAACCTCTATAATACTAGACAGTATTATAATCTCTTTATATTCTATGTCCTCAAAGTGGACATAGATTATTTCAGAGAATACGGGTGTAGTAAGAATTTTGTATTATAAAATTTTGTTTTATTATTCCGTCAGAATGTAATGTTCAACCCACAGAACTGTAATTAATAACCACTCTTTTATCAATGTTGTTGTTTAACTCCCTCTTGAGAATTTCCCCCTTATATGGACTCATATGACTTTGATCAATTAAGATCGTAAAAATCGCGTAATTTCAAGGGACTCGGGGGTATTCCATAGATGAATGCAATTTACATGTGATGCTAGATATTGTGACATTCTCTGTCATTTTAGCAAAATATTGTATACGAAGGATTTAATTTTGAAAAAAAAATGACATATTGAGATTTCTAATTATAAACGTATCCATTATGTAACTGAAGACGAACCTCTTAGTTTGGTGAATCGATAGTCAGGACAATGAATTAAACAGGTTTCTGATATAATTAATAAACAAGTTGGGTCTTTTGTCATTGGCTTTGTTTTTTTTTTTGGTTTTCTTCGCAATGTTTTAAGAGTGTTTAGACTATCAGATCATACATGTACTTTTATGAACTTTAAAAACAATTTAAAATAAATATCAATAAATGACCTTAACCTTTGACCAATTCAAAGGGTTCTTTCCCTGTGTGCATCCTCTATAAGTTGAACCTAATTCTTGTTCTTTGGCCTTAAGGTTTGTAATTAACACATCTTTGAATCTGTCTACAAGGAAAACCATCTAAAACGTTACAGAAGTGAGGTTCTACACAAGTAAGACTTGAAATTAAAACAAAGTCTGTCAATCATTTGGTCACTATTCAAATTATGTATTTGATGTTTGGCACTGTTAATCAATAGAAATAAGACATGCTATTGTAAAAATAAAGAATAATCAACCAAATACCGTAGGTTGAAGGACCCCTGCGAACAAATATTACAACACAGTTATAGGGGAAGGAAAAGGATACCCTATGGAAAGACACTTCTTTACAACCGCCATTTATCTCTGCAACATTAATTTACTTCGAAAATTTATTTATGGTTTGATGTAGAATTATCGCTTATGCTACTTTTAGTTGATTAAAATATCACGATACAGAGACATCTAAATAAGTGTTATCCCCTGCATTAACTACATCTAAATAAGTATCATTGTTTTGTTTTACAGTTTCTTTAAGATTTTCGTCTGCAGATGCCATTACAGAATTGTTAACAGTGTCATCATACTGTGAGGATGATCTGCTTCCTTCGTTACCCATTTGGAAGGTATCCTCGCTCCTCTCCTTGTCAGGTTGCATTTGCATTTTACTAGAAGTTGTTTCAGTAAGTTCAACGTAACTATGCTGCTGTGATTCAATCTTTGGCTCTAAATACTTGCTATTATTCAAGCCGTTGGAATTCTCTGCACTGGATTCAGAAATGGAAGATTTTACTGACACACTTTTTATGTCTTCAATCTCTTGGTACCTTGTTGGTTCCACGAGATGCTGATAGGGCTGGCATTTTTTCTTCGGAGATTCCTTTAGGGGGAAATATTTGCCACTTTTCTGTCTTTCTTCACTAATACCGTCATATCTGCGGATACTACCAAAGGTTCCTGTCTCTTTTATTTCATCATACACCTCTTCATCTTTATCAGGTAACATAACAGACACCCTCTTCCTCAATTTCCTCTTTTGAATATATAATCTTACGCAACACTGGATGACTAAAATTGTCAGTAACAGGCAAAGGAAGCCCCCTATACATAGAATACCTATGACTACCACGTTATTGCTGAATGGGGAGTCAGCTTTACTTATAATAATTGGAACTTGTAGAGTGGTCGCAGATGATATTACCATCGAAGAGGGAGTTGTTAATTCTCTCCGCAAATTTGACGTTGTTATATTGTTGTTAGTAAAATAAGCATGTGTGTTTAGGCTGCCATCTGAAGGAGTAGATGGTTTCTCTGGCATAACTTGCATATCTGTTAGAATAATTGGTCTACTAAAGCTGATTTTCCCATCTGTGAAAAATATCAAAAAATGCCAAAGATATTGATTTGCAAATGAAATTTATAAAGGGAAACTCGAATTGGTTTCTCTGATTTAATTTGAAACACGAATGAAAAGGTATTGAAAAAAAAAATCCATCATACCTAAGCACCCAATCTTTGCATCACAGATGCTGCAGTTACCACAATACTCATTACAATATTTTCCATATGAATTTGAGGGACAAGAACTAGAACAGTTGTGGCCAAATGTACCAAGTTCACATGCTGGAATTTAACATTAATATACATAAGTTATGTTTATATGGTGTTTCATTTCCATGATTACCATTATTAATAATAATTATAATAATAATGAAACAACTAAAATACATCCAGGTTCCGAAAATATACTTACGAGTGCATACACTGCCATTAAAATAATGATTGTAACAGCAAGAAGCGTTGGTACTAAAATGACATAATATTCATATTAGTTTAATATAATTTATGTACATTTAAAAAACCATTTTCTTTACTAAATATACACAAAGATCTATTTTTTCTACTAAGCAAAATACCTGAATAAACACATGTTTGGTTGATTGTTATATCCTTCTCTGAGAATATTGTTGTCTTCAAGGTCACAAACAATACAGAGATTATGTATCAGGCAAACTGTCATTGATTGACAACTTCACAGCGGAAGTAACCAAGGAAGATAACATTGGTGTAAATTACTGATCAAAGACCAAAAACTTCAACTTAATGTAAAATCTAAAAATATTAATAATTCTTACAAAAATTACTTTCATAAAAATATGTCTTAAAACACCTTTTAAAAAATTATATATATATATATATATATATATATATATATATATATATATATATATATATATATATATATATATATATATATATATATATATATATATATATATATATATTTACAATTTTGCAATTAATGACAAGAGGAAAATTCTTTGCAAAATTAAATTTTGGTCTTAATCATAAGTCCTCTTGTAAAATAGGGCCCTGATTTTTACAGAATTTTTTAAATTAAGAATTAAATCGAATATTATAATGAGCTAGAGGTGTGTACCTTTTAAATGCATTTTGAAATGTAGACAAATGTTTAAAATATTAAATGTTTTTCTGATAAATTTTATTTTTCTTAAAGCAAATCTTTGGTCACAATTTAAAGTCTGCATGTAGATGATCTGAAATATTGCTATTTATACGTACAGAATGTACTTTGACAGGGAAAAGATTAAGAGTTAAATTGCATGGAAAATAACTTGTAGTCATCTAGTTCAAAATGCAGGTAATACTGAGAATACATTTGAAAAAATAAATAAAAATAATATGAGTATGAAATTAAATAATATTTATATTTGTCCATACTTAATTTTATATTCTATCACAGTAAATTCCTATCAGCGTGCTTACGATGTAATTAAATATTTTTTCTTTATCATCGACTTTATAAATTAAAGTATATAAAATATTAAAATAATTTAAAATATTTTTAAAGTGAACATCGTTGTAATGGTACATCTGTTATATATTTGCTTGTACATCTTAATGTTTTCTATTCTATTGCTATTAGCAACATAAAAAAAATTGAATTATAAAAGTAGCATTAAATTTTCATTTCATAGTCACCACCTGAACCCTAAGGAATTGTTAGAATAAAATGACCAGAGAATATAAATAAGTAAATAAATATTAAATAATAAAAAATAATAAATATGTAAATAAAATACAATAAACAAATACACACAATAAGTAATACTTAAAAATTAATTAATAAAACAAATGTTTGATTAAAATATTAGTACTGTGTGGCAAAGGGGATAAGACTAGTAAATGAATTCAATATTTTTTGAAATTACTTTTGTCGGAAAATAATTCTTTTCTAATTTGAAAATTTATGAACAACTACCGGTAATCGAAAACTGCAATCGTGAAAAGAATATCAATTAAACCAAAACAAAATGTAGTAAAGAAGCCACAGAAAAATTAAATTCTCTGTTTTATATATTCTATCGTTAACTGCAATTTAAAAACAATTTTTGAATTTTTCTTCATTGGTTTGTGTTTTCTAATGCCATAGTCGGAGGTATTTTTTTTTTATCAAAACATTTTATTCAATATATCTAACGATTTATACAATATATCTAAATGCAGCAAGATTGGATCTTATATTGATATACATTGTACATGTATTTGGAGAATAAAATATCTGAATTCTAGGAATACAATATACAGTATCTATTGATCAGAAAATATTAACCCGAAAACTTATTTGCAAACAAACAAATAAACCGGAAATCGTATACATCAGTTTCAAACTAGTACCATGGCAATATAAGAGAAATTTCCTTTGTAAATCTATAATTGGATATTAGATAATATTACCGGCAGGAACTCATGATATTGTGTTTCCTGCTTTAGAGTACATCAACTTTTTATCAACATTATGTTGTTCTTATGAAATTGCATTCATTTATATACATGTATGTCTCTTGTAAAAAGTTTTCCCACAAAGTACAGTTGTTCAAAAACGAAAAAAAAAATACCCTCACTTTTATATAAAAAGTATGAATGAAAGTTTTTTAAATATATTATTTATACTTTCAATATCAACTATTTTGTTCTAACCATGCATTTATGTGAATTTTGATTATTATATCCCTGTTATTGAGGTATATATTTCCCTTTTTTTCATAACACATTTATGACTTTCCCTGCTGACTAATCATATATCTGTCTCTAAGATATGGTTGATTTGGTTATATATTGAACAGGCATTGTATCTTATTCATGTACATCTAGACAAACTCTTTTGATGATTATAATAACCATTCAACAATTTCTAATAATAGCAAACCTATGGCTCCTGGATCCAGTGCTTTGGCACCAGAGTGGGGTTTAGTAAGTTATCCACTAAAACTACATGACAGCTTTGAAAATGTTCTTCTTTACTCTTGGACGTCTAGTAGAAAAACTATTTAATAAACACTTAAATGTCTATCAAAAGTTTTAAATTCATGTTCCCGTATGGTGGGGCTTAGTTGGTCACCTTTAAAAACAAAATACATATCATCTTTGAAAATATTTCTGCTCATTTATATTAAGTGAGCAAAATATTTCACGATTATATTGAATCCCTTACCCCTTACGTAAATTCAAAATTCATTCTCACTCCGTCTACCATTCAGGCCATAGGGTGCGACTAAGTTGGACATTTATTAAAAATACACCACCTTTTACAATCTCTTTTTTTAAAAAGACAGAAAGTAGAGAAATGGTTTATATGATTATCATGAGTACGTACCTCTTAAAAATTATTTTCAAAAAGATATATCCATTTGGTTACGTATACGAATGAAAATATCTTCTTTCAGTACCTTATAAAAAAGAGATAACACAAATGCATTTATCTATTAATGATACTATTTCTAATAACCTTTTAACATTTAAAAAATGTTAAATATTTTTCAGCACAAAAATCCATTGTAACAAACCATTTACTTGATTAAGCTTGCAAATGGAAAATATCCTCATTAAAAAAATCAATTCTGAAGTGCGTTTTTTTACCATAAAAATCAATGCTACAAACCTAAGGCAGATGGGTTGAAAGCATTTTGTTTTATTTCAATCATTTTATTCATCATGTTTTATCATTTTTTAAAATCATGTATCTACTGACAATAATGACGAAATATGATATGATTTTCCACTTAAGAATTTGATAGTATTGGTAATTTATCTTATTTCTCTTTATGAACAACTTCAAGATATGTCGCATTATTATCATGACTGTGTTCTACGTCTAAGTAGTCTCCATCAGAATAAGCATAATCTTCTGTAGATTCTTCACGATTACCATTTAAAAAATCTAGAGCACTAGAATCGTTAACAGTGTCATCGTATTGAAAGGAGGAGTCGTCCTGCTCTTTGTCTGTTTGGGCACCTGTTACGGGAACATGATGTATATCCGGGTCCACTACTTGTATGTAGTTGTGTCTGTTTGTTGTTTTTTTAGGCTTAAGGTAGGAGGACCCATTTTCCTCTGAACTATTGCTACCTTCTGTCGAGGAATGATTATTTTCCTTCACAGTCGCTATTGCAGAATTCTCTAGGTATTGCAAGGAATTGTTAATTTTTTGATAAGGATGAGTTTTTGCTGTGTATAAATGTGACTCGACACAATACTTATTACTCTTTTCTATTTCTTGATAACTCTGTCTGTCTTTTACTACATTTATATCGTCAATTTCATGATATACTTCCTGTTCATCTGCTGGTATCTTTGTTTTTTGAGATGCAGCTCTAGTAATTTTTTGTTTCTTCAGACGCATCCTTAATGAACTCTGAATCACTAGTATAGCCAGGAATAAGGCAATGATCCCTCCTGTCACCGCTATCACGGGAGTGTAATTATATGGCGTCTCTAACTGTGGGATAACAAACTGTGTAGTTGACTTTAGAGTTTTGATAGATTTAGCAGAGGATGTATTAGACGACGATGAAAAACGTTGAAAGGTAGTAGTGGGAACTGTTATGACCTCTATTTTGACCTCTGTGGTGACCTTTGTTGTACTCCTGACGGTTGTTGTATCTATATTCGTTGTACTCTGAACTGTGGTTTCTGTATTTGCTGTGGTAGGATCTGGAAATTTCAATATTAATACTATTCTATTCATGATACACATGATTTTATTTGCATAGTATTCTTCACAATTAAGAAATTACCTGTACATCCTGTTACTGTGTCGCACCATTCCAGGGGACATGACTCTGGGCACCGCTGGGTGCACAGATGTCCGTATGAACCTTTGTTACACTGATCTTTACAGTTATCTCCATGGTATCCAAGAGGACATTCTGGTAATAACACACTTTCATTATCAGTTTACAATTCATTTACTAACGTTAGAAATATTTGTAATATATGGTCAATTCAGTATCAATATGGTATTTTAATATCAGTAAACCTTAACAACTAAGCGTAGGTCCTTACAAGATTTTAATACACCTAAACAAATTATAGAAAGGATGTAAAATACGCATTTCCTTTAAATCATAGCGTTTTCTTTTCATGTACATTAAAGGAATGAAAACTCTTTAACATTTTATCAACTATGATCGAATAATAAAAAAATCCCATACCTAAGCACACTGTTCCGTTGTCGTAATAGTTGTAACAGCATTTATCGGAGTTTCTGTGAAAAAAGTACCAACTTAATTTTTTTTTTTAAATAAAAATTGATACATGTTCCAGATGAAAATAATTTGAGCAAAAAGTACTCACATTTGCCTGCACATAGTAATGAACCTGCACTGTAATTTGATAAAGGAAAATACAGGTACATTAATCGCCTTTACATGTTCCTAATTGTAACCATATATATGGGACTTATTATGACGAACTATAAAGTCAATTCACCAGGAAATTAAAACAATGTATCACAAGTTTTTAGAGCCGGAATAAAAAGACTTGTCCTTTTATACTTTAAAAGTAATTTTGTTACTTGAATCTTAATTTTTCTCTAATCATCTTTTTTCTTACATTTATTTAAATAGCATTTTTAAATTAATTTGTTGCAATATTCCTGTTATATTAGTAATCATTGTCATTGAAAGGAAATAGAACAGTTCCTGAATCAGGGAATACGATTCTTTTGGGTATATTTTTTCATGGTTCTGAGTAAAAAACAAAGATGGTTTTGGTAATTTGACAAGTAAAGTAAACTTCTAACACCAGAACCGTGTTATCCTAACATTTGTTATCCTAATTGTAGGACAAATAAATGCATACAATTATCCAGGAAGTCATAATCATGTAAATGATAGGATCAAAATACATATAATATGAAATGTGGAAATAACAAAAAACAAAAAGTAATCATGCTCAAAAGCTATTACAACGATATAAATCGGGAGCAGAGCAAACACGGACCTCTCAAAACATCAGAGGTGGGATCACGTCTCATGGAGGTGTAAACATCCCCTGTCAACCGGTCACACTTGCCGTGTGCTCATTGTCATGATCGAGCAAACGTAACAATTCGTAGACAATTCAGTGTTTAAATAATGGCCTAACAATTAATATGAAAAACGTCAGTCATTATCATTGATTCTTAAGAGTTGCACACACTATAAATATCTGCTAAATCAAAGATAATCAATTTTGATATTCAAAATCTTACACAGATTATATCCAATTTTTAAAATATCGCTCTGAGTATCAAACCACTTTTTTGTTGTAAATAATTACTACAGTTATGATGATTTTTTGTCTGTCAGAAAAAATAGCAGAGTTAATTACGTCAACATTAGATTTAAAAAAAATTGGACAGAATCATTATTCACAATTCCATCCCGACAAGTCTCCTGCTTACTGCCTATATAAAATGCCTTACCCGTTAACTCATTGATGCTGAAATATCAGATAACACAGACCCATGAAAACACCAGAAATGAGATCAAGTGCCTAGGAGCAGTAAGCATTCTCTATATATCGGACAAACCAGCGGGAACCCTCTGTATTGATCAGATAAAGGTAGTAATCCGTAATTAAAGCAAGTACCAAAAAATGGTCCAACAACTGGTATGAAGTGGGTTAGTGAAATTACGACCCATAGATAGGTTGTATTTGTAAATAAGGTCATTTTAAGCCTATAGAATTTGAGAAGTGCTGGCTTTTGACGAAATTGTTGAAAGATCTGTTACATCAACTGATTTGTCAGTAGTCTGCCTTGCCAAAGTTATCGTAATCAGAACATGCTTTTGCGCACCAAATCAACATGTAGACATAAAGGCCATATGCAGGTGATACGGAATATTCCTCCATAAATAAGAGAAACTGTTTATGGAAGAGGTGAAGTCATCCCCATATAGTTTAAATGTAAGTTGGCCATAACATCTTGAGTTACTAAACATTCAAATATGAAACACATGTGGCAGACTTTGCAGTGTCTTTTATTTCGAATCCAGTCAGATATATCGAATCGAAGAATGAAAAGGAATATTGCTATTGGTTAAACATCATTGATAAATCTAAATGTCGAATTGAAAGCCACGGCAAGAGTTTTCTCTCTTTGTAAAAGTTTTTTTTAAAAAGTTCTGCTTCACAAGAATACAGGGCAGGTATCGATTGGCAATGAAAGAAGCAGCCATGTGACAGTCACGCTCTTCCAAATAAGTTATTAAAAGGTAGTTCTTTGTGTGTAATTTCTTTGAATAAGGATAGTTATGTACAATATTTTAAAAACAATGAATATTTTTTAACAATAAGAGTTTAATGAACAGCAACTTTCATTAAGCTGAGATGTACGTTTTCTTGTTATAGTCGATACGTTTTTAAAAGGAAGATATATAAAGGCTATATTTTATAGATGTAAATATATAGAAATGAAATAAATCAAATCAATTTATTTTTATCAGCGTGTAAAGACAGATGTTTGAAACTTGCTAGTTTATGCAAGCGGAAATGTCGAAAAAGACATATTGATTTCCTGCTCATCAGGAAGATTTATATCATCCCAGTATCTATTTTAGTAAATTGAGTGATTTAAATTTGTATTGATTACGTTGTGTTTTAATTACCTCATTGAGCTAAAACAAGGCTCAATATATAAGTAAGAAGAAAAACAGTGTCATCTATTATCAACCACGTATATGTACATGTACGTACAAAATCAAACTCACTTTAACCTTTCTGATGTGATCCACTTGTCAAATCTATTATGCACTGTCATTTTCAATAAAATCGTTACTTTATTAAATCCCCCTACAATTCGTAATTTTGTTTTCTCATTTATTGCGAATAGGTGAAAACCACTTTCCTCTGTCTCTTTAATAAACTATTTCTGTTGTCAGTCATTTTCTTCTGTCTCTTTAATAAACTTTATCAATTCATATATTTCTGTTGTCAGTCATTAACAAACATTATTTTTTCCAGGACTAAATCAGTTAAATTCGTTGTGTATTAATTACCTCAATGAAAAAATGGACGCTACTCTAAATTTCGAGGTTATAATGCTTAACACAAAGATATTGAATTCTTCAAATTATGAAAAATGAAATGACGTTAAAACATATATTTTAGTGTAATATAATCCATTTCATTTTTCTCATCCTATATATTGTATAGCATGTATATGTTACATATACTTACCATCCAGAAAAATATTGTTAAGTGTTTACTAAATTTGACAACTGAGTACTCTGTCTACCTTATCAATACATAGAACTCATGACGGATGTGACCAGTCGTCCGGGGATGCTTACTTCTCTTAGGCACCTAATCCCACCTCTGTTGTTTCCGAGGGTCCGTGTTTTGGCACTGTTCGGATTCGTTTTGTTTACTGGATTAAGAGATTGGTCACTGTTTGTTATCTTCACACCATACCAACGTGTAGTGATGCCTTGTTTAAAGCTAATAACCAAGTTGTAGATCTGTACAGCAATGAGTATTAACTTCACTGACTATTTTTGTATACCAATATAAGATAGAAAGAAATTGTAAAATATCGATAGTTTTGAGATACATTATACAAAAGTGAGATTATTTTCAGGGTATTTACATTTATATTTACATATATACATTTATTTAATTATGCCCATACAAAATAACGCATGGGGTCCCTTGTATGGAAGGTCATTTTACAAAATATCAATTATTATTGTTATCTATCTAATATGCTGAAAGGAAGAGTTATCACTCGTAGGATGACATTTATTCTTATGAAGAAATAGTGTTCAGAGTTGATAGTAAATATAAATAATTGTAACAAAGAATACAACTGGAAATGATCCAACGTAAATATAGTTAAATATAATATATATACAACGATTGAAAGTTCCTACCATATTCTTTTAGCATTTTACTCTCGATATCTCGAATCATCGAATATGTCAAAGTTTTTTCCTTGGTCCCATTGAGTTCGAGATAACGAGGTTTGAATGCATGAAATAGAATTCTAGCGGTTACCAAATTAGACTCGGTTAGGTATATTACTTGTCGTTCATCTCTGTATTTTGAACTCCGGCTTTTGTCTAGGAAATCGTATGAAAAAGTAATTAGATATACTACACGATCAGTATGTACTGTTCCCAGCTGACAAAGCAGGTAACATCATTGTCTTTGTTTGTAAGGCTCGTTATTTTCATTGTATTTTAGAGGAACTGGGATTTAATTCTACAAGTGGCAATCCAACTATATCCATAGCTCCCTTTTTAGGGAGGAAATTCTTCAAAATCATATGTCAGGTTTTAATAAATTTAATATTCCCAACAACCAGAATGAATTTGAATTATCATATTTATATTGGATTTCGAAACTTCATAAGAATCCCTACAAAAAAATATACATAGCGGGTTCCAGTAAATGTTCTACCAAGCCCCTTTCTTTACTCCTCACTAAAACACAATGTAATAACAGCAATGAGGGAGAAACTTCAAGAGTACTGTGCAACAATATATTCAAGGAGTGGTGTAAATCAGATGTGGACATTTAAAAATTCCAAGGAACTTTTGGAAAATTTGAATTCACAAAATTTTACCAAAATCAATAGCATAAAAATTTTCGATTTTTCAACTCTGTATACAACCATTGCCCACGACAAATTAAAGTCCAAGCTTTTTGACAGCTGCTATTTCAATGAAAATAAAACTCGTAAACCTTGTCATTGGTCAAAGTTATTTTATTGAAAAGACATTCTGATTCTACACACAAGTGCTCTGAAGTTGATATAAAAAAGATGCTTGAGTTTCTGATTGACAATATCTATGTAGTTTTTGGAGACCAGGTCTTCCAACAATGTTGGAATTCCCATGGGTACCAATTGCGCCCCGTTGTTAGCAGACCTATTTTTGTATTCATATTAAGCAGAATTTATTTAAAATCTTATACATGAGAAAAAATGTCTTGCTATGGCCTTTGACTCGACATTTAGATATACCTACGACGTATTATCAATTAACTTTAGTTATTTCCATTCATACGTCCACACGATATATCCCAGTGAGCTTGAAATAAAAGATACCACAGAGTCTGACACATCTGTTTCATATTTGGATATGTTACTAGAAAAAGACACTAATGGTAATCTAAAAACAAAGCTTTATGATAAACTTGATCACTTTAATTTTTTAATCGTCAACTTCCCTTACATGTACTTATGCAGCAATATACCCTTTTCCCCTGTATATTGGGTGCATATCTCTCAGTTGATTCGATTCGCAAGAGCATGAACAATTTCTAAAACGAGGTAAGTTATTGACAAGTTGAAACAAGAATATTAGCAGTCTCGTTTAAAGTCATCATTTCGCAAGTTCTATGGTCAATACAACAATACAATGCAAATACAATCTATCATTAAGTCAAATGCAGATTGAGTATTCATACTAATTGTTAGGCCATTATTTACACACTAAATTGTTGACAGATTTTTCCGTTATTTACCGATCGTGACAAGGAACACACGGCACGGCGGGTGTGACTGGTCGGCAGGGGAGTCTCAATCCTCCATGGCACCTGATCCCACCTCTGATGTTTCTGGAGGTCCGTGTTTGCTCAGCTTCCGATTGTGTTTTAATGGACTTTGAGCTTGAATACTGTTATCTACATATTTCATGATAAAATAATACTGAAACTCTTTAAATACTCTTTAAATGAGAAGAGGATAGAGACGGTAAAGTAATATGAGTATATATGGAGAGATGGAAAACGGGAGGAAATAAGTCCTGGGTGGTATTTTCTCAGTTGTTCTGAGAACATAACGTTGATCTGTATTGGGGCAAATTCTTCTAACGTTCATAATGAAAGGGAGACACTCAATGTAATTGAGTTTTTTTTTTTTATCATTTTGTACATTTATATAATTTCATATTATTATAAAAAAATATTTTGACTGTAATTAATATTATTGATATTATCAAATAAAATACATTGCAAACCTGTCACGATTTCCTAGTGGTAGGGCGTTCGCTTCGTGATTGAGAGGCTCGGGTTCGATTCTCGTTCCCCACACCGCGTCAAACCTGAGAGGTATCACAGGTAGTGACTGTTCCTTCGCTAAGTGCCCGGCATTAGAATTGAAAGTCACGGGTCTTTCGGAAGAGACCTTAAACACCGAGGCCCCGTGTCACGGTTGGCGTTGGCACGATAAAGAACCCTAACTGCTCAAAGGCCCTGAGTGCCGAGTAAAGGTCTAAATTTGAAGTCCTATACCGGTATATCATGTGATGCTTTTAAGTGCAATTTTTATTTATTTATCTATATCTAACTACATTGTTTTAATTAAACAGATTTTCTTTTTAAATTTGAAAACATTTTTTAATTTAATTTGAATCTTTCATAATATAATACTAACAACTTCAGCTGATTAACATATTTTGCAAACAGTCGTAAATGACCGTTTTAACATTCATCAATCTCATGTCTATACATCTTTTAGTATTGGAAAATGCCATATATTGCATATAAAGTATAAACTGTTGATTGACTATGATTTTTAAACCTACTTATATAAAAATGTTTTATATATCAAATTCATCCTCTTTAAAGAAAAGTGGCATTTAATACACGAGGAAAATATGATAACCTAAAAAAACATTCACATAAAATACCATTTTCTGTTTAAAAAGGTTGAAATTGGTTATTTTATGTCTTTATTCACATTTATCATATTTTATTTATGATTCTGACATTGAAAAACTCCATTATCCTCTTTAAAATGTATACTCCAAAAATATAGGGAAGATGGTATACCCTATATATTTTTTAAAATTATATATTTTTTAAATGGACAAGTGACTCGAAAATGCGAAATCTTTACAGTTTTCTTTAGGAAAATAAAGAGTTTATCTACAAAAAATCTACAAAATATCAAAATTTCAAAATATTTTAGGAAGGGCCGAACACAGCCTTATCGAAATTTCTCATGTTTGAGTGTATCTACTATGTTTTAATGCAATATCATGCCAAAATGATTAATGATTTACACCATTTGCTAGAATCCCTCCCTCCTCCCCCGCAAAAAAAATCATGAAAATAGATACTTAATCTATTTTAGTATAAAAAATGATGAAGTTTAGACACATTAAGTAAAATAAGTTAAAAGATATGTATATATAGCAATTTATTTTGCAAGAACAGAAGAATAAATAATCATGGTTTTTAATACCAAGTTCAAAGTATTTCAGCCACAAACACAGAGTTCACGAGGATTAAAGCATTATTTCAGAGTGAAACACCAAAATAATTAGGTTCTACATGCACTTGATGTTCCAGGTTATTTTTGGTATAAAATATATGTTTGAGAACAGTGTTTAACAAGATTCCGATGAAAACATTCCAATTTAACTGGAAATTCATTAAATATCTTCCTCATAACAAGGAAGAATTGCATCTAATTCCAGTATCTCTATTGCAAAACGACTTGAAACAAATAAGTGGATACTATAATCACAAAATAAAGTGAGCTCTTTAGAATTATTGTTTGTTATAGTTTTATTAATCGTCAACTACATTGATATGGGATCAATATAAGAAGATTCTGAAAATAATTCACTTGTAACATCTAAATATGCACCAGAATATATATCTTTATTATTTTCAGACATCACATCTTGAACTGGATCTATGTATTGAGAACATAATTCCCCTTCGTCGCTATTGTCTTCCCTTAAACCAACAGCGTCTATTATACCACTAGCGTCCAATCCCTCTGCAGTAATACCGGGGTCAACTACCTCTATATAACTGTGATGATCCATTTTTTTGGTCTTTGGTTTGAGATAAAAAGTTTGACTGTCATATGAACCATTACTTGTTGATGAAGGATTTGATTCGCTATTTTCCTTTTCAGCTTTATTTGCAATTTCTTGATATTTCGACTCCTTATTTCTCATTCTTTGATACGGCAACTCTTTAACAGACTTTGTATTTTTAAGTTCATAGTACTTTCCAAATTGTCTGTTGTCATTTTTTTCACTGTGTTGCCCATTATTACTGATCAGAATGGCTTCATTAATTTCTTGGTAGGTTTCCTCTTCTTTCACTGGTAAACTATTCCTTGCTATCCTTCTCAATTTCTTTTGTCGACCCTGATACAGTTTTATACAGAACTGTATCATAATAACGCCGAGAAATAAAGCTATGACCGCTCCAATTCCTATAATGATAGTGAAGTTATTGATTGGGGACTCTGTACTGGTTGGTTGTGGAATAACTGTTGGTTTGGATGTAATTCTCAGGGCTTTTGTACTTTGGGTCTTTTGTTCCACTGTCACTGACGTAAAATGGAAGGGTAATTTTGTCGTTTGATTCGTAAATTCATTTTGAAAACTGGAGGTGATTTTAGATTCGGTTGTAGTGTGGAAAACATAAGTTGTCTCTCTAGGGTATTTTGAAGTATTAATCTCAAGTTTTGTAAATGCATTTTCATCTGAAAGATTTAGTTAGATTGCAGTAGCTCAATTACTTATATCATTTCTTCGAAAAAGAATTTTAAAAAATGAAAGATAGTTGATCAGAAATGCACGGAAACAACTCACCTGGCGGGCACCCGGTCTCATGGTTACAGCTCTCTGCAGAGCAGTTGCACATTTGGCTGCAAATGTAACCATAGTAACCAGCCGTGCATGTCTTGTCACAGTTGTGCCCAAAATAGCCATTAGGACACACTAAAGGTAATTGATTTTGTACAAAAAAAGACATTAGTTTGACAGATGAATAGATATAGAACTCTTTCTGCATAAAATAATATACAGTCAAACTTCATCTTCTCAAACTCGATGGGACCAAAAAAAAAAACTTCAAGAAACCTGATGATTCGAGATATCGAGGTTAAAATAGTAAAAAAAAATAAGCCGTTGGGACTTCCAAAATCACTTCGACATATCTATGGTATTCGAGATATCAGTGTTCGAGATACCGGTCAACTCTCTCTCTCTCTCTCTCTATTGCTTTCCTAAATGTGATTTTTATAAACATAAGAAAGCTTATAACCTATGTTGAAGTATATTTTTCTTTAATATAACCATTTTTTATTTGCTTCTTTATCTATTTGTTGTTAAAGCACAATTATTTTCAGTAAATATCATTAATCAATAAATCTACTTCAGATCTTGGGAATATGAACACACCATTTTGTTGCTCGAAAGATGGGAAACTTAAAGTTGTTACTGCTTTTACAATTATATAAAATAGGAATGAGGAACAAAACATACCAATACACGCTGATCCATTAAAATAATGATTGTAACAGCAGTCTGTCAAATTTCTAAAAGGACAATACAAAATGAAACTGAAATTGAAATTGCTTGTAAAATAGAATTATTAACTATTGAAGTGTGTAAAAAAAAAAGTTAAATGGCGTTACCTTGCCACTTCCAGATTGCGCTTACACATGTCTGCAGTGAACAGGAAGAAGATAAATACTGTGTGTCCACTGAGCACATAAATCCGCTATAATTTGAAAGGACAGCAAAGTGAAGAAACTCCTTCTGAGTAACGTGTGTTTTCTAGGAATATTGATTCTAAATTATTTGGTCATAGAGATAACATTTACGTGTTCAAAAAAATTCTTTTATTTTTCAGAGGTCATTTCGATTGTGAATGAAAGAATTATCTAAATAATATTTTTTGGACTGTTACATATAATTTTGTGATGTATTGATATAAAATTTTGAAATTAAATAAATACTGTGAAAACAACAATTCGTCTTTGGATTTCCGTTGAAAAATGATTGTTCTTTTATGTCGACACACAATAAAAATCGTGATAAATTTTCTCAACAAAAAGAGTATATATATGTATATATTTTAAATCTGTTGAAATTCAAAAACTCAATTTTGTGGAAATATAAAAAAACTTTAGTAAAATTCATTTGTAACAGTCAATTTTCATTCAATCAGACGAGTCATATTTAGAACAATTTTTTTTGGTCCTAAATTTTTTATTAGGAAATATTGACATAAGTTCTACATTTAGGCATTTAGGCAAATTATGCAGGAAATAAAGGAGGAAGAAAAAAATCATTCAAGTAACTGAACACCAATATCGCATCTTCATGAAATTCATAAAATTAGATGGGATTGCATAGCACATTTAAATAATTATCAACAGTCATAGTAAGTTCAGTTCAAACAAGTTTCATATCAGAAAGATATACTTGGGAGAACAAGTATCTTGTTTACATGGTGCACAGATTTACATGATGTTTCAGGAATTCTAGTCATGATAAGAGACCTTAACTCTATGAAATGGGTTTTTTAAGAAACAACTTTTCTACAATTTTAGAAAAAAGAATTAAAAAAAAAACAACAAAAAACAAAAAAAAAAAAAACAACCATAATTATGAATTTTATTCCATTTTTAACATAAGGATTTTGACCCTCCCATTTCTTTTTAGACTCTCTCTCCCTTTCTCGTTCTTAGAAAAAATACTGCAATGAGAAGATTGTATGTTAACTTTATATTTACTCATCTAGTATTGCATTGTTATACAAATTTTAAAAGAAAAAGAAATATTTAAAAATATGCGGACTGTAAAATTTAACTTATATTACAACTGTGATTCATTTATATACATGGATGATTACAATACAAATATATGACTTGCGAAATTTGGAAAAGAAACACATTCCCATATGAGATAAAAATCAGATGATATACCGGTATAAAATAAACCATTTGTTCTTAGAAAATTCTCTTGAGAAAACATGCATGAAATCGACACCAATCGTAGGGAAATTGGAACTAAGAGACAACGGAATTTAATATCCTATGTAGAAAAAATATGCATAATTCTTTTACCATTGATATTATTTGCATCTTAATTATCTTTATCAAACCTAGCCCTATGATGACCTCTGTTTTCTAAATAAATGTTTCAAGATTATATGCTCGTGTCCCAGAGTTAACCAGGAAAAAAGCGCATTGACGATAATAGTCTCCAGCTGAAGTTTATTCTTTACAAATAAAACAAGCATTCTGAGAGTATTGCATTAGCAATACTAGTCCCCTACCGGCAAGTGTAATCTGGTTCCCGTTAAAAATTGAAAATGCCATAATTCCGTCAAAAATCAATGAAGCGGAACGAAATGCAAACTTGATCTATAACTCTTCAAGGTAAAGTCACTTACCAAAAATTAGCTCATTATCTGCAAGCGTTTAGAAAAAAATTGCGGAAAACCCTGAAAAAATGAAAAGGTCGTAATTCCGTCAAAAATCACTGAAGCGGAACGAAAATAAAATCAAACTTGATCTGTAACTCCTCAAGATACACTCACATAGTAAAAATCAGCTCAATATCTGCAAGCGTTTAGAAAAAAAAGCGGAAAACCGAGTGGGATAGACTGACAGACAGACAGCTAGACGGACAGACAGACAGACAGCCGGACGGACGGACGGACGGAGAGACTCAGAGGAAACCTATAGTCCCCTCCGGTTTCACCGGTAGGGGACTAGCAAGACAAACGAAAAACGTTCTAAAATCTTAGTCTATGGATACTATATACATAGAATATATTATTAGTCCCCTACCGGTGAAACTGGAGGGGACTATAGGTTTCCTCTGAGTCTGTCTAGCTATCTGTCTGTCCCTCTGTCTGCCTGTCCCACTTGGTTTTCCGCACTTTTTTCTAAACACTTGCAGATAGTGAGCTGATTTTTGGTATACGAGTGTATCATAATGAGTTATAGATTAAGTTTGCATGACGTTCCACTTCAATGATTTTTGACGGAATAACGACCTTTTCAATTTTTTCAGGGTTTTCCGCAATTTTTTTCTAAACGCGTGAAGATATTGAGCTGATTTTTGGCATGTACCTTTACCTTGATGAGTTATAGATCAAGTTTGCATTTCGTTCCACTTCATTGATTTTTGACGGAATTGTGGCATTTTCAATTTTTAACGGGAATCAGATTACACTTGCCGGTAGTGGACTAGTAGTGCTAATGTAATACTCTCAGAATGCTTGTTTACCACTTTATATGTGCAGTTGATATTCGAGAAAAGACACTAGCAAATGAGACTTTAAAATGAATTTAATGTACAACTTTAATAACATTTTTACGACATTGTACTTGATGTTGCAATATTTATATCTTAAATTTTAAAATCATCCAAAAACTATTCAGTCAAAGACTTACTTTGGAACTGTTTTTGTTACTAGGATCTGATGTATAAGCCCTTCAGTATCGTTTTGACACTATGTCACCATAACAATACTCGTCTGTGTTGACACTTACAGTCGGATATCTAAGGTGGTTGCAATTTCTGTCTGATAATTTCTCTGTATCATTTGTATAGTTTAAAAATTCTATCATTTTCCAGGAAAAGAAAAACGTGTATTGAGTTTGTTGCTCTGGTTATTTCTCGTATTATGTTTATTTATTTGTTTGTTTGATTATTGTTTAACGTCCCTCTCAAGAATTTTTCACTCATATGGAGACGCCACCACTTGCCGGTGGAGAGCTGTTAATTTTGACCTATACACGGCACTCAGGGCCATTGAGCAGTGATGGATCTTTTTCGTGCCAGCACCTACTCGGTTTATATGGTCTCATCCGAAGGACTGGTCTCCACGTCCCACAGTGGGATTCGAACCCGCGACGTAAGGATCAAGTCCTTACTCTGCGACTCTAGAGCGAACGCTCTAACCACTGCGTCACGCGGGTGACTTCTCGTATTATGACAAAGCGTGTAAATATGATGGGTCAAAATAACACCTCCTGCTGCGGTTTAATTTTCTCAGATCATGCTTAAAACATTTGAATATGTCTCATTATTAGTCATTAGACTTGCCTTTGAAACAAATCACTCTAAACATTTCAATTTTGCATTGAATTGTTTTTTGTGTTTTGCATCCTTTGAGTAGAATGGACAGATTTCCGAACCCTTGATATCAAGACTATTTCACTTTTCAGCAATATGTTATAAATTAGGTAACTGCTACTGATGCCTGCGATGTAATCCTACTCCAGTGATAAAATTATCAAGAGGGGGAAGTATGGTCACCTAGAGTGGAAGATCATGTTCCTCCCCAGAGACATGTACAAATTGTAATGATGGGTTCTACTGCACAGGTCCAAAGTGTCAAAGTAAGAATTGTCAGTTCTTCTTAATACTCCAGCTTATCAAAACTTTGATATGATATTATGAAAATATCTGTAATTTTAGAATAAAAAGGCCTTTTTTCATTCTCCCCAAATCTTTATTTCATACTTATACTGAATTTTAATGCAAAAGCATGAAAAAATTATCCCCATAATTAATTATAAATTTTCTCTAAATTTACCTTGAATAAATTAATTTAAACCAAAAAATTAACAAAATATAAGAAGCTATAATAATACAAAAAATACACTTTCGCCAGATTTCGTCTATTCTATGACCTAGATCCTGCATTCAGGTCTGCTCAAATTTTCAGTTACTCTACGTACTGCAGCATACACATAAAAGTAGTTGCATGGTGTCGTAAAAAAACTACTGTGACAGATGATGTTGTCAGTAAAGGAAAATATCACTAAACTGAGGTCCACTGTCATACTCTTTTAGTATACAGTGAGAAAATATCCTAAAAATAAACTATAACATTTAGGCCATATAAATATTGCGCCATGCATCACAAACCCTTGTACTGGCATTATTTCTATAAGATATACTCACTGTGTCAGCCTTTCTTGATCATTTTTTGTGAAAATTTTATTGAGACATCAGTATATGCTAAAAAGGAATGCCTATTGTTATTTTATGATAAAAAGTCAAAACAAGCTTCAAGGGATCAATATCAAGTTTGGAAAAGAAGACTGAATCCTTTTGGAACGAAAAAGAGTTACTTTTTCAATATCTACATTTTCAATGCACATATTTTCGTTTACCAGATTATGACAAGGGACACACGGCGGATGTGACCGATCGAAAGGGGATGTTGACTCGTCATGGCACCTGATTCCATTGCTGATGTTTTAGATGTCCCTGTTTGCTTTGCTAACAGTATGTAGATTTTTGTCTAGATTATTGTTCGTTATCCCCACATTACATTCAAAATGAATAAAACACTTGTTTTTCAATTATTTTTGTAGAACCAGTCCCTTAAATATGGTATTAGAAATGTTTGTAGCATCTAGATAATTTCATCAGTAGTCTTATCCACTACTTTTTAAAGTTAATAACAATGGAAATACTTTTCTGTCCTATTTGGTAGCACATCATCATACTGTATTGATAATGTACAGTCTTGAGACTGAGTTTTATCACTGTCAGCTATACAGTGTACTGCATCTAAATATGGATTCTCAATAACTTCTGTATATTGATGAGGTGTTGGGCCAGCAATCGGCTCTAAATACGAGTCTTTGTCTCTATCAGGAGAGTCTGTGTTATTTGATAACTTACTCAAGTGATCATGAGATACAGGACTTGTATTTGCTGTATCTGATGAAGGTGCATTATAATTTTCCTTATTATTAATGTCTGGTGTTTCACATTTTATAAATAAGTATTCGTTTTTTGTTGCTTCTTTTAACTCGTCATACTTTGTCTGTTGCATTCTAGAGTCTTGGTAACGATTACTTCGGACACTTGAAAGAATAGCAGACTCCTCTATTTCATCATAAGTTTCAGGATCACTTTGCTGTGTTGATGTTCGTTTTTTCAATTTCGGTTTACATTTACCATATATCTGAATCAGTGTTAGAATTGCCAAAAACGAGGCAATAATAGTGCCAATGATAATTATCACATTATTATTATTTTTTACTTCGTTTTCTGATATGATAACAGTTCTTGTCGATATCTGTCGACCATTTTCCGACTTGACCGTTGTCACATGTTTTGTATCAGCTTGTACCATATGTATCTCTGATGTTTCCTCATTGATTTTCATAAATGTTGATGTAATGTGTTGAGATGTTGTAATTTGGTAAACTCTGGGAGTCGTTGCATCTGCAAGTTGATTTATTTCTATTTCATTTCAAAATTATTTATTCTAACATATATCTCAAAGTCTACAATGATATATATTTTCAATCATTTGCTAGACAGATAGAAAATCTGAAAACCAAGTTTTTATATCAATGTGGTAGTCCATAAAAACGTAACATTAATATAACATACAGCTCTTTTACCTATTGCTTGACATCCATAGACATGGTTACATAGTTCATCGGGACAGTCGCACTTTTGCCCACATGATTTTCCGTACTCAGGAGCAATGCATGTAACACTACAATTATCTCCAAAGTAACCGTCATTACAAGCTGATTTGTTGAGAAAATATCAAAAAATAAAAATATGTTTATAATGTTTTAAGTTAAATACATATTAATCACTAATACGAACAAGTATCAATGACTTACGTTTGCATTGGTCATCACTCAGGTAGAAATTATAACAGCAGGTTAAAGTTTGTGACCTATAAATAGTTTAAAAGTTTTGTGTGTTTGTTTGTCGTTTAACGTCCCTCTCAAGATATTTTCACTCATATGGAGTTCAAAAGTATATGACTAACACACCTGTCAGATACAAATAATACTCATTTTGTTTCGTAAAAAATACGTTAAAAACAGGATATTATATCAGAATTAACAAAACAACATACGTAAAATGTTCTATTTACCCTTCAGAGCAATTTCCACTTATCTCTTGGGACTCGGTGTAAGTATAATAGATATAGCTAAAGAAAATCAAGGCAGAAATACCCGATTGTCTCACCAGTTTTTTCATAACACCAATTTAACAAACTCATTAGCTCATATAGACGGAATTTCTCGAGTAAAATGAACCGGAAGGAAAACAAATGATGTAGTTTTCATGTCAGATACGACAACCATTTATGAATTTAAGGATGACGGCTAATAAAACATTAAAGAAAAACCCCAAATCTTAAAAGCCTTTCTATTTATTTATTTTTTTTTTAAATTCATCCATGCATTTTGACATTCTAATTATTTATGATCACACAGTAATCTTTGAAAGCGTTTTTATTTGCATAACACTGAAAAAAAAAAATGCGCAAAAATTAATTTAGACATGTTACGTTGAATTCAGATGATATAAAATATCTGTCAATGAAAAATCAAATCCAAGTAAGTTCTTTATCAATGATTTCTAATCAAAGTTAAAATGAATGACTGTATCCGGGATGTGTGATTCTTCAACGAGAGACAATGATATTATTTTGTTTCTGTTCCACTATTATTATTAAGGTCTGCCGTACTCAACGGAATACCTTCTTGCTATTCTTAGCTTTCTTTTCCAACCGTGTTATTTTTTCTTTCAAAAACAGCTGGCTAAATTTCATGAAACTTTCTGATGATATAGAGCATAGAAAAATCTATATATGAAAATATGTTTTGTTGTTGTCACTTCCATTCAGAGATTTGCGTACATAAGTGATATTTTGATGGTTTTTCCTTGCGTTTACTAAAAACGGTTTCAGGTAGAAACGTGATAATTTTAGCGATGACAAGGCTATATGTGTAGATATGACATTTATTTCACAGGAAGTGCTGCGTGTCATTGCTCGCTATTAAGCGAAAAAACATATCGAAAATTTTTTATCTTTTTAGACGTGTCCTTCAATACTTCATTACCTATGAATATCGATAAAACATGTAAAAAAGAAGTTGTTCAAAATTAAAAGTTCTTTCGATTAGTATCAGAAAAAAAGGAATGACCCTTTAAATCAGGGATCTAGCGGATTATATGTCCTAGAAAGATATTGGGAATTTGCGATATAGCATAAAAGCAAAGTGGTTTACATCACCGAGCAGCAGCTAGTGAGGTATTTAAAAATCGTCTAATGACGTCACATCCGACAAACCGGAAGTAGTCAAAACTTGCTTATATATCGACCATAAAACTTGCGAAATGATGACTTCAAACGAGACTGTTGATATCCTTTTTTCATCAACTTGTTTGTCAACAGCTTGCCTCGTTTTAGAAATTGTTCATACGTAGAGCATGCTCTTGTGTATCAAGTCAACTGCGAGACATAAACCCCGTATGCAGGTGATAAGGGTATATTGCTACATAAGTAAGGGAAGTTGACGATTCGGATTGAAAAGTTGAAGTCATCACGTTTATCACAAACCTTTGTTGTTAGGTTACCATTTACGTCTTTTTCTAGTAAATTATCTAAATACAAAACAGATGTGTGAGACTTTGTGGTATCTTTTATTTCAAGCTCACTAGGATACATCGAGTCGCCATATGAATGGAAGTAACTATTGTTAATTGATAATACGTCGTAGATATATCGAAATGTCGAGTTAAAGCCCAAGCAAATGCCTTCTTTTTCTCATGTAGAATTGTTTGAATAAATTCTGCTTCATATGAATACAAACATAGGTCTGCAAATAACGGGGCGCAATTGGTACCCATGGGAATTCCAACAGATTGTTGAAAGACCTGATCTCCAAGCACTAAATAGATATTGCCAATCAGAAACTCAAGCATCTTTTTAATATCAACTTTAGAGTACTTGTATGCACAATCAGAACGCTTTTCAACAAAATAATTTAGCAAATGACCAATGGCAAGGTACGTATATTTACGAGTTCCATTTTTATTGTAAAAGCAGCTGTCTATGATATCAAAAAGCCTGGACTTCAATTTATCGTAGGGAATGGTTGTATAAAGTGTTGAAAAGTCGTACGTTTTGATGTTATTGATTTTGTTAAAATTTTGTGATTTCAAATTTTCTAAAAGTTCCTTGGAATTTTAAAGTTTCTACATCTGATTTACACCACTTCTCAAATATACTGTTGTACAGTTCTCCTGAAGTTTTTCCTTCATTACAGTAAGTATTTTAGTGAGGAGTAAAGAAAGAGGCTTGGAACATTTACTGGAACACGCGATGTATCTTTGTCTGTAAGGATTTTTATGAAGTTTAGGATTCCAGTATAGGAATGGTACATGTAATTCAAATCATTTTGATTGTTGGGAATATTAAAAATATTTAAAACAGACATATAATTTTGAAGAATTTCATCCAGAGAAAGGAAGCTGTAAGTTGGATTTCCACCTGCAGAATTAAATCCTAGTTCCTCTAAAATATAATTCAAATAATGAGCCTTACAAACAAAGACTGTGTTGTTACCAGCTTTGTCAGCTTGGACCAGTACATGTACATACTGATCGTGTAATCTATCTAATTCCCTTTTCACTTCTGAATTATTAAAGACAGAAGGATAAATAGTTTCATACAGCCCCTCAGTCGCTTAATGCGAGATTTCAACATCCATCTGATGCCATTAATCCATTCTGACAAAGTGTCTAGGTCTTCTTTTTCGTGTTTGACCCATCTCCTGGCGTAACCTTCAATATAATTCATAATATTTATAAAATTATGACGCCAGTTGAAAGAACAGGGTTCCCTAAATTTCCATATGGAAAGGCTATGTCTTGTTTCCTAATCCAGTATTCTTCTTGTTGTCTACGGAAAGGTGTACTTAATGATGGACTATTAGTATGATGGTAAATCTTTTCTAGAATTCTAACTTTCTATGTATAACTTTCTGTATATCAATTTATCAAACTAATATTTAATATTTAATTGTAATATAACTTATCAATTCATAATATAAAAATTCTCTAATCATTAACAGAGGTCTTTAATTTATGGTACTCTGTAATTCATTAAACAGATGTGTATGATTGCTGATTTGCTCAGGATCATCTTTGAAGTAAACTATCATTTGTGGAAGAGTCTATGCACTTGTTCAAAATTCGAATTAATGTAAGAAGCGAATAACAACAACAAATATTTATTGCTCAAGAGAAAAATGTCTTTTATTTTGTAATAAAATATGGAAATAACGAACAGTAATCAAGCTCGAAGTCCTTTTGAACAATACAAATCGGGAGCAGAGCAAATACGGACCTCCAAAAACATCAGAGGTGGGATCAGGTGCCATGCAGTAGTGAGCATCCTCTGCCAACCGGTCACACCCGCCGTGTGCTCCTTATCATGAGCGGGAGAAACGGAAAAAAACCCGTACACTATTCAGTGTGAAAATAATGGCCTAAGAATGACAATTCAAACACATTTTGCAAAACATTCTTTAATTCAGAATAGCTATAAAATCATCATACGACTCCGCAATCTTTGTTCTAGTCCTGTCTATATTGGAATTAAGATTAAAATGCAAGGTATGACAAGAAGACATATTAGCATATATAAATTTCCTACATTCTACAATATCTTTTAAAGCATAAACAGCTTGTAAATATGTATCGTCTTCACATATGTCAATGTAACTGTTGGCTTTCTTTGGGGAACTTGACATGCTTGATGTGTCTAATGCATGGTGCCATGAGAAGTGTCGTTTTAATTTCACCTGGTTCTGCAAAGCTTTGTGAGTGGTAAATGTCTTGTATTTCTCAATATCAGTGTAATATTTACCGATTTCATTGTATCTGGAGGAGTCTGATACTGATTTAGATAACTGATCATAGCTTGTCCTAGTCGTGCTCTCATCTTCTATATTAATATTTTCTTCCCCTAAAATATCTGGGTTTTCTTCAATTTCCATATATATGTCAGTTTCTTGGTTTCTAAGCGACGTTTCAACAACTTCGTTCGAATCAGGTCCAGATCCTTCTGTCTTTTGATTAAAAAAAGATACTTTCTTTCGAGTAATGCAACAAAAAATTGCAAATACCACAATCCATATGACTATAACACCTGACGCTATAGAAATAGTAAGCACGATCACCAGGTTTCCGGCGTTACTCTCTGTATTTTTGAATGCCCGTGTATTTTGAAATGTTTCAGTTGCTTGACCATAGGGAGTCTTTAAGTCTTGTTTTGATACTGGTGACTCGTACATTCGAGTGAAAGTTGTGCTGGCAGGTAACAATGTGCTGAATTCACTCTCTATGAAAAGAATTAATTACAAGTAATTTTTTTTCTTAAAATGAACTTTGAAAATTTTTCAAAGTCCTTTGTATCTTAAAAATAATTCATAGCTTTTCTTCAACATATTCTCTACTCAGGCAAATATTTCTCACGTGAATTTCATGAGAAATTTTGAACGTTAAATTAAGTAAACGTAAATAGATTACAAAATGAGTATCTTTAAATGCTATCATGTGGATTTCCGTTCAAAGCTTACCTGAGTAATCTTATAATTTTTAAATACAAAATTCAGTGTGACACTTTTTCTGTGTTAAACTCATATGAAACAAATTTGACTCTGTATAAGTTGTTTTGATGTATATCAAAATATGGAAATATTATTCTTTACATTATTTAGAGAAAACTCTGGTAATACTTAAAGAAAATGTTGATGCTTTGAAACATTGTAAATGAACACACTCATTTCCAATAAAAAGTGAGGATGTGTGATAGAGACATGCATAAATATGAATAAATTACCGTTGAGGCACCCCTTTATGATGTCACATTCATCAATATCACAATCGCACGTGTAATAGCACAGCCAGCCGAACTTGGGTTTTGTGCATGCCTTGGAACAATTTTGGCCATACGAACCAAAAGGGCATTCTGGGATAAGAGTGTTACATGAAAATATAACAAAATAGTATTACTGTAAAGTTATAATAAAAAAGTATTCAATTTTCATACTAGAAGGTACTGAGAGACCAAATCCTTACTAATGCAGATTTCACAAAATCAGAATAGTAAATAAATATATTACATGTATTTTCATACATTGTAAAGAGCTTTCTCATTGGTTCGTTTGATATCACATGTCAGTGTAAAGAAATGCGGATAGATCTGGACTTTCTAATTATAAGCATGAAAAACTCGGATAAATCGGGACTTTTTATAAAAAAATACACCAACTCCTTATTTGTAATTTTCATGTCATAATGGATTTGACAAACAATGCCTTGAATATGGATCCACTCTTCATGGTTCACATAGATGTTTATATACTAATTATAAATTGATAGAAAAATAATCAAACAAATTAAGCATTTTGATTTGGTACATTCCCTCAATATTCCTTTGGTATGAAGGAAACGCAATAACATTGAAACAGCTTCCTTTATTTTGACATCAGTAGTCTCTCTGAGTTAAAAAAGAAAGAAAACTTGTTACGATTTTTCAAATTTTGTCTTGTAAATCTCTTAATATAAATACTATATCAAATGTAGCCCTTTCATAGCGGCAATCCAAAGATAAATCAACTTCAAAGAAAAGCATATCGACATCGTACTTCGTACTCGGTCAATATGCTTTCTGTGAAGTCAATATCTCTACATCATGGAAGGCTATTTTTGCAGAAAATTCATAGTAAAAAATCCTGCGCGGTAACTTTTGTTGGATGTACCAGAAAATCAAAACAATTGGATGTACCAGAAAATCAAAACAATCTCGTTGCTTACATTTCCCAAAACGTGCTAAATCTGTGTAATACATATACTTTTCAAGACATTTGGAAAAAGTGAGCATTAAAGAATTCCATCAAGGCTAGTTTCTACATTTTCATCCTTAGGCATAGGTTTTCCTAAGTGTCTCTTTTTTAAGACCCTTTTTTCAATATACCGCAGACAAATGCGGATGTACAAATACAAAGAAATGAGAAGGAAAACATTCTCCTTTCCAATTTGTTGGCATATATTATACATATATTACGTGGCTTCGAGGGCAACATACCAGAATATTTGCCCCCGAGGTGACAGGAAAGCCCTGGAGTGTTATGTCGCCCGATGCCGAAGGCAGAGGGCGACATAACATTCCAGGGCTTTCCTGTTACCGAGGGGCAAATATTCTGGTATTGTTGCCCGAGAAGTCATGTAATATATGGTATATAACATTTTTAAAGAACCAAAATCGGACATATTTATTGACGACTATATACATGTATGGACCTGTGTAAATATCTAAAAAAAAACAAACAAACAAACAAACAAACAAACAAAAAAACACGCAAATCGTTTTTTTAAATACATGTAGCTGATTGGTGGGTACTAATAGTTTCGATAATAATGCTAAGGATCATTAACACTATTGTTGTTAAAATGATAACGGGAGACGGCTGAAAGTTATGAAGGCCGATTTCTCTTCCTTTATAAATAATTCCGAAATATTCCGTCTTGTTTCATTGCAGAATGTTTTCAGCACGCTGACATTTGTGTTTATAATTTTTGTTGTATTTACGGAATTTTCTCCCCAATCAAACTGTCTAGTTCCTCTGAATTTAAATGAACATAAAAAAACGCAGACGTACTTCCTCTGTGAATTTCGAACCCGACTTAATCAATATGCAGAATGACTGCACGCGAGGGAATATAACGGTGTTCGGGAGGGCAATATAACTGTTTCCGGTGTAATATAACTATATCCGGCGTGATTCAGCAGTTTTTCAGGGCATATGGATAAAAATATCATATTTGTGATATAATGGGAAAATTCTTCAAAAATGTTATATATATATATATATATATATATATATATATATATATATATATATATATATATATATATATATATATATATATATATATATATATATATATATATATATATAATAGGGATGTCAATTTTGTCAATAATTTATATTCGAATATTCAATGAAAGTATTCGAATATATTCGAATATTCGATAAAATAAGTAAAATCTGTTTTATCTAAAATATGCATCATCCTACTCTCATGAAAGGTTTAGCGTAGGTATGCTTATATTGGAAGTAAAATTGTATGTAGGTGTACAATGAGAAATACCATTTGATATTTCTCAATGTTTGAAATAAATAATTTATTTGAATGTAGAAAAGTATAATTTTAACAAATGAAACGTGTATTTATAGTAGCTCCAACTGAGGAACCAGTCGTCTTACAAAAGGCAGGACAGTCGTAACGGTATACTGTTCAGATTTCAATACGTGTAATAAATTACAATTATCTGCCTGATAAGAGATATGATTATAATCTTTGATACAATGTAAACAAATATTTCCATAGACAATTTTCCTAGGTAATTAACTAATTTCCCGATAATGAATATAAAATTCATGATTATGTACAACCCTAGATAATCATGTTATTTGCACATTTATTCTGAAATTAAGCCCTTTACAATATTAATTACAGATTAATTCTATCGGACATTCATTCAATGATCAATTAATTTTATTTTGATAAGTATACTCTTCACGCCTTTTAGACATTCTTAGGTTTCATTTGTTGTCCTCGATTCTAGATCCGATCGTATCTAACTAATAAAAACTATGAAAGTACGTTTTGTATTATACATAAAGCATTATTGTACAATTCTTTAACACCTTACTCAAAACAAAATACATGTTATTTAGTAGATTTATAAGCTAAGAAAGTAGTGAAAGAAATCAGGCGATCGAAATTGATCGCTAGTAAATTAAACAGGGATAATTCCAGCATGGTTCTAATAAAAAAAAATATTAATCAAAGTACTTCTTTTTATGAAATCTGAAAACACCGAATATTCGAATCTTAAATTCATATTCGAATATCAACTCATCGAATGAATATTCGAATGTTCGAATATTCGTTGCCATCCCTAATATAAAACCATCCATACCATAACATTTGAATATCTATCAAATATCACGGACATGAAATAAACAATTTTGTGAAATGCATAGGTTCCAATTCACATGAAATGAAAGAACAAGGTTCACTTAGGGCCTTTTTGTGAATTTCTGAAAACTGAAACTGCTTAGTTTTAGTTAACAATGCATTAAATTTCATTTAGACATTTAGTGATTGCGAATCTACCAAAAATGACGTAATTTTCTGGCTAGTCAATGCATTATGACGTCATGAAATGCGTCATTTTCCTCATATCCTGAAGAATTCTACAAAAACAGCCAATTTTTAAAGCTATTTTTCGATATTTAATATAGAGCGCAATCTCTGATCTAAAATATGCAATTATTTACTGATAGAACCGTTTCTGAAGATTGCAAAACACGTTTTATTTTTTTAGATCAGAGGGTGCGCTCATATTATTTTTCTTCTCTGAAAGTATTTAAATATACCTGTTTTCCTTAAGATTCAAGAACATTGCAATTCCATAAAGCTTCTTTTCCAAGACCTGGACTTTAAGGAGAAAAATTTAATAGGAAATGAAAGCACTTAGTCTCTACTTTATCTTGATGTTTAAAATGGAACATAAGGTGTTAGTCAATAAATTGGTATATCAACAGGACCATTGAATGCCTAAAGTGAACCTAGCTCTTTCATCGTATTATAATGTATATTTTAAAAAAAACGTAATGATATAAAACGTGATTGTTTACCAATACAGTCATTCTTCACTCGATCGTAGTAATAATTATCACAGCAGTAATCTAAACCACCAATTCTGCTGAAAAGGTTTAAAAAATGAAATTAAAGGAAAAAAGGTTTTTTTTCATTTAATTTAAGATGAAAATATTTTAGAATGGGTATTTAAAACTGAAAGTTACTCACGTGCCACAGAATTGAGAACTGGTCAGCAATTTGAGATTCAAAAATATATGAACATGAATGCAAATATAGATTTTTAAATGAACGAAATGCATCTTCATTAGTCAATGAAAAAGATGAGGCTTTCAAAAGCTTTCCCATTGAAATGGATAAAACAAGGAAACAATTACGTAAAAGTTTAAACTAGTGTAAAAAACGCTAACATTTACAGCAAGTATTTCTATGCAAAAGACCAGGGAATATACCTGATAAAAAAAAATTACAGAGAGTATCTCAAAATAACGAGAAAACAAATTTAAGATCAATGCCCTAATTTAAAAATGGTATCAAGAGATATTTTTTATAACTATGAGATATTGCATAATTACAATATCTTACCTTCATGCAAAGATGTTGTAACAAGATCTTCCCTCATTTTGTAAGTATTTCTCGCGAGATTTTTTGTCTTTTTGATTTTTTTTCGAAATTTCTTTACGTAATTTTCAATTTCTTTTCTGGCTCTAAATGGTTTTTCCCTATTGTTGAGATCTTTTTTTTTTTTTTAATTTTAACAATAATCCTATTTTCGGTAAAAAACGATAACTTTCTTCCACGAGCTCTCTACCGGCTGAACTACCACGACGACCAAAATGAATAGAAGATATCTATATTGTGTGATTTAATATCTATTTTATCCGAAGAGTTGAAATGGGGAATGTTCTCGAGGTTTGCTGAACGAATATACACCAACGAGCTGGTCATTATCTATTTATGTTTTAGTCAAAAAAAACTTTGAGATAACCCCTGTTAAACTTTGTTTATTAACGTCAGCAACGTGATGCCATCAATTTTTACCAAAATCAATGGCGTCACCTTGCTGACGTTGACGTGCCAAAAGAAACTTATTTTTAAATCTATACAAAATGTGAAATCTTAGAATGAGATCAGCAGCGTCTTTTACAAATATATGACAGTCTGTTGGAGATTTATTTCAAAAAAGGGTAACATCTATCATCGCAGTAGCCACGCGGTTACACCCAGATATTCTACTTACCTATACAATATGACGTCATATAATATAATAATAATAATTATAATAAATAATTTCTATAGCGCCCTATATAATAAAACTATCACCCTAAGGCGCTTTACATAAAATGTACATAAAACATTACATAGATTGCTTTCAAAATAAAATTAGCCTAATATTGAAACTATTAAAAAAAAAAAAAATACGGTTGATTAAAAGTCTAGTAGTAAAAATATTTTTAAAAATCACAAAAAAGATAAATCTAAAAAGTCAATCAAAAGCTAATTTATAAAAATAGGTCTTCAATTGTCTTTTAAAACAATGAATGGATTTGGCTTGTCGAATGCGCACCGGAAGGCTGTTCCACAGATGGGCAGCGGCATAGTTAAACTGTCCTTCGCCATACGTTCCGGTGCGCACCCTCGGTAAATTGAGTTGCAGACTACCGTCCGATCGTAGAGTACGGTTAGTTTTACGGATAGTAATCAGTTCCTGTAAGTATGTAAGCTATATGACGTGAACTTTAGAAATAACGATTTTTTATGATTGATTTGAGGTCCTAGAAATGAATGGAAACATGAAAAAGCTTAATATCAACAACATCTTGTCGTTTCTGGGTGGTATAAATACATGTAGCTATGCATTTGTCAAGGAGGTTAAATATCAAACCCATGACGTCGTAACTGAAGATCAATATTTGCAGTTTGAAAATGAAACGTAACGAGAATTCATGTAAACAAACACATGAAATCGGAGTTTAAAAGCATTTAACATGAATATCATTTGTGATTCATGCGGAAATAAAGCTTATTAATAAGGTATGCTGATTTATCTTAACAATTTCTTCGTATAATGAAGGCAGACAGTGTTTTTACATCCCGATTAACCTTTCCTCTGTTGTTCGTAACAACAAAGACGCAAAAGTTCAACAGTACGCCACATACTTTGAAACATAAATTTTGTTTCTATCGAAAGGTTTTATTCTATAGTTTTTGGAAAGTGCTGTTAGAATCGTGTGATTAACGGAAATTGGTGAAATTATTTCGATCTTATGTACAAAATGTATAAATTTTGGTAAGGTTTCATCCGAAAGTATGGAATAACTATTTCTGTGATAGGCGTGTCGGATTCTAGCAGCACTTTTCATGGTCCAGAGATATTTTTTCATAAATATTTTAGCAAAAAGAAATTAATTCTCCGCGGAGTAGTGTTCAACTTTTCACTTTTTCATTTAGGATTTATTTCTATTTATTTATTTATAGACGTCACATGATGACGTTGTGGTGGAGTGCTTGCTTTAGTCTCATTGAAGTCTATAGAATGGAAAATCAGGGCTCTAATTGGCGACTAATTTAGTCGCCATGGCGCCGAAAATTTTTTCCATAAGTCGCCAATTTGGCGACCATTTTAAATTGACTTGGCGATCGTCGAATTCTGGAAATTTTCACATTTTTAACAATTTTTCTGAAAAAGCGAAAAGAAATATAAAAGAATAGGAAATTATTTATAAAAAGGGATATGTCATGTTTTCTTAGACACGTCATGGGTCCCTATATTCTTTTAACTTTTTAAGTTGGCGCCTTAGAGAAATTGTCTGGCGGCTAAAAAATTGCCTTGGTGACTAAATTTTTTTTGATTAGGCGCAAGCTGGCGACTTAATTTTAGAAGCCACTTAGAAGCCTGATAATGGTAGTAAATGTTTTATCCATGACATTTCCGATTTATCAATATTACATTTTCAAAAAAAAAAAAAGGTGTAAATTCTCCGAATTCTGGTCTGTGTGCTGCCTTAACATACATGCGCAGTACGATACATTAATAATTTTTGACATTTCATTGAGCTGTAATGAATCTTTTATTATTTTGAACGAATATTTTTGCTCATTATTATTTATTTCATAAGATCAGATCTTCCAATAATCTGTTGGAATTCCCACGAATACCAATTGCGCCCCGTTTTTAGCAGACCATTATTTTTGTATTCATATGAAACAGAATTGATTCAAAAACTTCGACATGACAAGAAGAAAACACTTGCTGTTGCCTTTAACTCGACATTTCGACATATCGACGACATATTATCAATTAACAATAGTTACTTCCATTCATATGTCGACTCGATATATCCCAGTGAGCTTGAGGTAAAAGATACCCCACAGTCTGACACACGGGTTTCATATTTAGGTATTGTTCTAGAACAAGACGTTAATGGTAACCTAACAACAAAGCTTTATGATGAACGTGATGACTTCTACTTTTCAATTGTCAACTTCCTATACTTATGTAGCAATATACCTTTATCACCTGCATATGGGGTTTATGTCTCTCAGTTGATTCGGTACGCAAGAGAATGCTCTACGTATGAACAATTTCTAAAACAAGGCAAGCTATTTACAAACAAGTTGAAACAAGGTTATCAACAGTCTTGTTTGAAGTCATCATTTCGCAAGTTTTAATGACCTTGACAACACATACAACCTATCACTGAGTCAAATGCTGACTGTCGTTTTTCATACTAATTGTTAGTCTATTATTTATACACTGAACTGTCTACGGGTTTTTCCGTGTTTTCCGATCATGACAAGGAGCAAACGGTGGGTGTGACCGGTCGGCAGGGAATGCTCACTCTTCCACCTGGTCCCACCTCTAAATTTTGAGGTCCGTGTTTGCTCTGCTCCAAATTTGTATCGTTTCATTGAACTTTCGAGATTGAATATTGTTAGTTTTCATCATATTTCAATAACTTTTACAATAGAAGTTTCGAGAAATTTACTCTTAAAGCAAGGGATCGTTCAATTCCGGAAGAGCTTTTGACAAAGTATAATCGTGTATAAAGCATGGGTTTATTTAATGGGTAGAATCCATTATATGCATGAGATAAATTTATATACTGCAGTGTCACATTGGAAAAGTTTATTTTACAAAAAATATTCTTTTTTAACTGATAATGAAAATTCATAACACGAACCAACTTTAATTTTTAATATTTCTTGATAATACCAATGAAATCGTCATATTGAGCTTGCGTCTTATATAATTTAATATTTTTATTTGAATGAGCTGTAGATGTATCAAAAACGGCTTCCAGGTAGTTATCATCTGAGAGTTCTAGGTAACTATTAGTTTTGTACGATGTTATATTCTGTGGAACATTGATCAGATCATGCCAAGAATGTGACCTTTGATTCGAACTCTTTTTAAAATCCATTGACGACGGATCCATAAAATTAAAACAAACTTCCTTGTTTTTCAGTTCTTTGTAAAGATTATTATATTTGCTTATTTGCTTTTCCTGTAAAATGTCATAGTTTTTTCCGGGAATATTTGGCAATGCTATCTCTTCCCTTTGTTCCGTATGCACCACACATTCGTCGATCTCCATGTAAGTTTCCTCTTCACCATTCAATGTGTTGTTTCCGGATAAATCTTGAACTCTGTCGCTTATGGGAACAGAAATAATATTTGATCGCTTGGATAGCTTTTTATACATCATAGCAATTAAGAAAACTATAATTATAATTGCTATGGTGACAACACCCCCTGATATAATGACATATATGTATTGAATCTGATTTTTTGATATTTCTGCATGTCTAGTTGTCACGTCAATTTGATATAATAATGTACTTATTTCCGTTGCTGATGACAATTCTCTATATTTTTCGTCTTCTATTCTTAATCCTTTTGATGACAATGCTGTAATTTGTAGAGGCGTCGTAGTTGACTCAGCAGGGTCGGATGTATAAAAGTTAAAGCTATCTAAAAGAGACCAAGTGATATTGTATTTGACAATATTTTTTTTAAAAATGTGTATGTTTATCAAATGTTATTAAAGAAGGATGAAATAATGTATATTTTAACCACGTTGTTCATTTTTTAATATTATGAAAAAATACTCTAAGCATGAAGATTAAATTCAGGAAAAGCTTTCTTTCCTTTTGAAAATACGACAAATAATAAAGCAAGTGCAGAAGTGCAGAATTCGAAATTAGAAATACGAGATTCGAAATTCGAATTTCGAGATTCTAGATCTAAATTAACCAATCAAAACTTGGATTCAAGATTCGATTACTCTTCTTTGCTAAGTTTCGACTATCAAGAAATCGT